CTCAAGCGACGTATTCGAGGCCGCAACGACGAAATTGCGCGGGGAAATTTACGAGGCCGTCTTGCGAGCGACGTTTGCCAATTTGACGAGGAAGAGTGCAGTGAAGACACACGCGTGGCCTACGTGGCTCGTTCTCGAACTCGTCGCACGTCCCGCGACGATCGTTTTCGACCAGACGCCCGAAGATGTGTTCTCCATTTTTAAAGCGTGTCCCCCGAGGACTGATCGTCTCTAACGAGAAATATAGAAAGATCAAATGCCCCAAACAGTGGCCCATTTTAAATTGAATTGAAATGCAAACGCCAAAGGATTGTGAAGAGTCGTCGAGAGCTTCGTCACGAATACGAAATATTAATGAATTGGAATCGGAGGCGTCCGGTCGTTGGGCGCATACGCAACGGTTATGGAGAAGTTTAAGAGGTTTCGAGGGTGAACTGTATCTCGACACAGTTACGCGACGAGGCTACGAGCGATTCTTGAAAGAAGCGGGCTCGAGAGAAAGAACCCTTTCATTTTTAAAAACGGTCTAAAGGCGCGCCTGCGCCCTCCGCACACGGTATCTTTACGGTTTAAGAGCGAGGAGCTCGAGTGTGCGAAACGAGATGTTTTCCTTGAACGTTTCCTTAACACCAAGGTTGCTTTTACAAAAAACTGAGGCACCTCTCGCGACGACGAGAACCGCGTTAATCTTGAGATTAATCGTTGCTCAACGAAATCGAAACATATTCGCCTTGGAATTAATTCAAAAAACAAAAAACAAAAAACTGGTGTCTCACGTCCATCGTACAAGGGTGAATCCCCGTGCAGGGAAACGCCCAGAAGATTCGCGATCATGCAAACGAGACGTACGTTCGACGTAGAAACGGAAAAATCCGCGAAGGAGGGAGAAAAATATCGAAGTCGATTGTCGCTTGGGGTTCCCCGAGGCTCATTTGCATTGCGTGACGGGGCTGTTTCCCTGCCACGGCGACCCTTTTACGTGTTATAAAGTCGGCATGCGTTGCATGTCGTTGCTCGCCGTCTGATTTTTATTTACCCCCCTCCCCCCCCTCCTCCCCCTCTCTCTCTCACCGCCCCCGTTCATCCGGGCTCTCTTTCTCTTCGGGCATCCAGGGTTGCCCGCTTCTTGCCTCGCTTTTTTTCCCTCCGTTTTAACGACTAACGTCGAGCAGACTCGACGTCGTTATTGATTAAGCGGGCACGTGAAGGCGCACCGGCGTCTTGCATGCCCCGGAATTCTTTTTTTTTTTCTCCCGTCTTTGTTCGCGGAAACTTTATTGGGCCACGCGACGTCGTTCTTTTCACCGGGTACGTTCACGAGACGATCGAGGGACGGGATCTCGCCGAACGTGTCCCCGTTCTCGAACTTGATAATTAGCGGCGTCGATGCCGGCAGGCTCACGGAACGTGTGTCAGGCCCCGTTATATCGCCGTTAGAAACTGACACCGTCGTTTAGCGGAGGACAGAGAGGTGCACGAGAGGATCGTCTCGGGGCAAATCCGCGGGAACAATCGTTCCTGATATCGGATGCATTCGTACCGATGAAAGGGATTCCCTGTTGGACGGGACGGGGCAGGGCCAGTGGGGAATCGTAATAGCAAGATGGATCCTTGTCTCGCTGACTCCTCGTTCACCAAGACGCGACGCTTGTCGTCCCTCTCATCCGGTTCGATATCGATAAACATGTCCCCCCTGTGTCACCTCTTTCCATAGTTCAACGCTGCACTCCGCCTCCCGTCCATTTTCTCCCGCGTTACTCTCCATTTTCCTAATCCCCTTTTCCTGCTCGTCTACTTTCTCTATACATTACTATTTGCTTCCTTTATCCCTCGTTGTATCTAATTTTTCCACCTACAATGTGCTCGCCATTTCCTCGGTCGTTACACGGTCCCGGGTTCACCTGCCTCTCGACAGCTCGACCAGCATCAACATAACCGTTCCTCCGCCAAGAAATCCAATTAGCCCGCCATTAATAAAGGATTCGCCCGCCATTAATAAAGGATTCGCCCTGCCCAGGGATAATGGCAGCTGCCCATCGACCGAACTATGCTCCAGAGGCACCTGTACCCTCTTCCGTACTCTGTCGTTAGCCCCCCAACGCGAATAAAACCCGAAAAGTTATCTCACGATCCTGTATTCACACTTTACCGACTGGTAGTCTATGAATCTGTCCTTTTTACCGACAGTACTTACCGACTGCTGACCTATCAATCGGTTTTTTACCGACTGCTGACCTATCAATCGGTTTCTTTTACCGACTGCTGACCTATTAATCGGTTTCTTTTACGAACAGTCAACCAGTCGGTAATGCATTAAAATTTCCCGTTATTAAATGAAAGATACAGAGTCTCTATGAACAAATCCCCTTTATTTTCCTTGTATACCACACAGTTGACGATATTTTGCAAACAATATAACACAGTAAACGCAGAATTGTTTAATCTTGCGCCACGAGATTTGCGGTAACAAATTCTGCGACGAAATTCTTAATAATCGCGACACGATTCGAGCGATTCCGACAGATATCGCGACGAACGAAGCACAAGTTCGAGAGGTATTCCACAGGAAGTAGGTGTAGAATGCGGCGAAATTCGCGGTCGGTCAGGATATTCGATAATTAAGCCGCAACGCGCGAGAAACTCGCCGCTACAATTAGCACCGGCCAATATGTAAAACGAATTATCGTCCTGGGCTTTGATCCGGGTCCAGCGCCGATCATTATTGGCCCGGCTGGATTCTATTCGATTACGTCGGAAACCCCGTGCACGTAACCGCGACCATTTTCTTTATCGGTTTCGCGAATATTTACCCGGATCGAAAATAAAATTCGAGTTCGAAAATGCATTCTTTCTGTAATTTAAAAGATCGACGAAAAGTTAGTCGAAAGGATGCACGGAGGGGGTGGATAGGTGGGGGTGGGGGGGGTGACGATCGGATCTCCACGGTGGAATTTAATTTCATTGAAAATCCGACGTCGATGCTTCGAAGGGGAGGGGAGGGGGGTCGAAACGAACGAGGCGTCGGCGTCGGGACGCCGTTGGTCGCAGACACGTGGCGCAAAAATATCGCCAAAAATCGTTTTGGCCACCGGGGTCTCTCCTCCGTCCGGAAATTAAAGATTCAACGAGCCGAGGGTAATTTCGGGGGCCGTGGAACAAGACGGAGCAGACGAGTGGAAAAAAAAACAAAACGAAGGGCGAACGATACGCGAGAGGGATTTAAATGGAAATCGATGCAGGGACCCGGAGAAGCGCGAGGACGAGTTACATTCGGCGTCGTTAAGTCGAAACCTCGGGGGGGATCCCCGAGTCCAGGGACTTTTTCCACCCTCCGGAGAGAGGAAAAAGTTTTTCAACCGTGCCCTCCTCTCGGAACTAATGCGCTCGCGACCTTGAAAGGGATTTAATTATTCCTCGAACCGAAGACTGAATTAAAATCGTATTAAAGAAACTCCACCCCCCACCCCCCTTTCTCGAAATACGTTTCTCCTTAATCCTTTAATTTCATTTGGTTTCGGGACTTCGAGAAAAAAGTTCCCCAGTTCGCAGAATGTTAATTTTAAAATGGAGGACGACGTTGAACCACAGACTGAAGTATACGAGTAAGGACATATTATGAAAAATTTCAAATCATTCTGGAAAAATTATTTTTGGCTATGGGGGTCATTGATAGTCATTTTTGGTGATTAGGCATACCCCCGAAATCCTACTCAGATTCGAGAAAAAAATTCTTTACCGGAATGTCTGACCATACCGTTGATTCATTCCCCTGAAATTTCATGTGTATCTTTAAAACGTCATAACTTCTGAACGGATTGGAGGATTTTGATGTTTCAACATGCAATCAACGCGTATTTTAATGAAGAATATGTAGAAATTCTAAAAATATTCGAAAAATTGTTCCTTAACCCCGTAAAATAAAGAAACCCCCCTAAAAGTGGTCCAATTTTCAAACGACCATAACTCCTATAATAGTCAATATATTTTAATGAAATTTTTTTCAGAACTAGAGCTCATGGGTACCTACAAAAAAGTATTAAACGAAATTTCCGTAGCGCGTCAAACAAATTTATTAAAAATGAAAAACGAATTTATATGAAAAATTGATAGGGGGTAAGTCCCTAAACTTCGACGAAAAAAAAAAATTTCAAATCGTTCTAAAAAAATTATTTTCGATTATAGGAGTCAATCGCAATCATTTTTAGTGAACACACAAACCCTTGAAATCCTCCCCACTTTCGAGAAAAAAATTCATTACTGAAAATACAATGTCTGACCACACGTTGATTCTCTTCCCTGAAATTTCATGCATATCTTTAAAAAATCATAACTTTTGAACAAATTGGGCGATTTTGATGTTTCAAAAGGCAAACGACGCGTATTTTAATGAAGATTATTCACAAATTCTAATATTCAAGAAGTTGTTCCTTAATTAAATAAGAAAACCCCCATAAAAATGATCCACTCCTATAACTTATCCGTGTTTCTGAATTCGTCGAATCGATTTTGGAGCTCCCTGGCGGCGACCAATTTAAACCAACCTTTGTTACGTGTTTCCTGAAGCGAGACAATGGAATCGTGTTAATTCAAGTCGCCCGAAAAAATTATAGTTCGTTATCCGCCGTCGGTACAATAGGACTCAGAACGGAGAAACTTGGCGCTCCGTGAAATATTGCAACGCGATTTAATTTTTGATTACGAAGGTAATTAAGTCGTTGGAACAACCGTGGGACGCTTCTCGCGAATTATGATGCATGAAACCACCCCGAACTCGATGGTTTATTTACGTTCGTGAATTTATAACGCGAGTCATCGATTGGGGAACACACGACTTCGAAATCGGGGAACCCCAAAAGGCCATTCGTCTCTCCTACGTTCAAACTATACAAATTAAATTACAATTTGCCCAAAAATGACAATTTAAAATTCCAAAACACTATGAATATTATTTTTTGTAAATTATTGTATTTTAACCTGCTCTGAATGTTTGTCTGTTTCAGGAGGAGTGCGGTTCGATGCTCCAGGACCTCAGCGACAAGATCAACAACAAGCACCACGAGGTCCACACGCATCCTCTGCTCTCGATCTTCAAGATGGCGGAGGTCGAGGTCAAGCTGCCCTACAGCAACGAGGTGGGCGGCCTGACGAGGTCGTCGAGCTTCCTCCTCGTCGCGATCCTCCTGCTCCTCAGCCTCCTTCGATCGACGTCCACGTGTCTGGTCGGATCGTGACACGAGCCCCTCGCCACCAGTCCACTCCTATCGAAGAGCGATGATTCTTGAACGCCTAGGGACACGTGTTGCAGTAAGGACGAAGGGGTCAGGAGGTCATCAACGAACGAGAGTTAACGCCTCGATTATTTGAACGGGGGCTCTAATCTTCGTGCCTCGTGGATCACAGCGACGTAGAGAGATGTTCGTCGATCTCCCCCCCGCGATCGAGGATCAATCCCACTCTATCGACCTTGAAGCTCGATCGCGGGGGGAACGACGGTGTATAAACGAAAAAAAAAGAAAATCATATGGAAAGGCATCCGTAGAGTCTGTAAATGACAAAAAAAAAACCGCTAATTTATGGTATAATTAATAAGCTAGGAAAACGACCGCTCCTCCTATATCGGACCACTAAGTGTTTGTTAAAGTTCAGAGCTAAATCTAAAAAAAAGAGCGTTCGAGGCGTCAGCGAGAGACTCGAGTGTGTAGATAACTGTAGATTGTTGATAACGTTGTAACTAAAAGAAAGAAAAATGAAATAGGCGGGTGTCTCAGGTCGATGGGGGATTTTTTTTTTTTACTGGAGAAAATTGTACGTCGTGGACGAGTTAAAGCGTCTCAGGTGTGTGTTCGACGTGACAGATTCGGTTTAATTATGTTTTATTGCACCTCGCGGCGTTATAAAGCGTGTCGAGCATTATCGTGTCCGGGGAAGTCCAATAATTTCGTTTCGCGGGATGGCACAGGCCTTCCGTTGCGCGGAGACACCCGCTTTAAAACGGTCGATTTGTCAGCCGGGGGAAAACGAGAAAGAAGCGGAAAACCGGGGAAAACTTCTAAACAGCTACCTCCAGCCCCCCTCTCCCCCCCCCCTACAACGCGTGACGTTTACAAACGACGGTGAAATACACGACCTCAAATTATTCAGCGGTAACACCTCGTTCCGCGTCTCGGGCTCGATTATAATCTCGACGCGCGCGGCGCGAATAGTAATTTTCTGAAATTCTGGGGACACTTTTCTACGTCTGGTTCTTTTTCTGGACCGTGGCAAAAATTTGGTGGTTCCGTTTTTGCGTACACGCGGAACGAGGTTCGATTTGGGGGGACAGCGTATGTAGGGAAATGGACGAGGACGTTGTGGAGACGATTCTGACTCGCGTTCGATTCGATATTTAACGCTGGAACTACTGTAGTTTTTGTTTAGTTTATTGTATTATGCGTTTTAGTTTCTTTGGTGCGAATATTCGTCGTAGTTCTAGTGTTGATATTAGGGGGTAGGTGCTGAAATTTTTTTGGGAAAACAAAAGTTTCAAATCAGTCTAGAAAAATTATTTTTAGTTAAAGGGGTTAATTTCAATCATTTTTGGTGATTAGGCATACCCTCGAAATCCTACTCAGTTTCGAGAAAAAAATTCTTTACCGAAAATACCATGTCTGACCAGACGTTGATTCATTCCACTGAAATTTGATGCATATCTTTAAATAATCATAACTTCCGAACGGATTGGACGATTTTAATTTTTCAAAAAGCAAACTACGCGTATTTAAGTGAAGAATATGTAGAAATTCTAAAAATATTCAAAAAATCTTTGCTTACCCCCGTGAACTGGGGAAAAACCCCCATAAAAAAGTAGTTCAATCTTCAAACAGCTATAACTCCTACAATAGTGAACATATCTCATTGAAATTTAGTTGTGGAGTAAAACTCATGAATACCTACAAAAAAGTATTAAACAACATTTTCGTACAACGCCAATCAAATCTAATAATAATCAAAAACCAATTTTTAAGAATAATCGACTGCTGCTGAAATTTTCCGGCGAAAAAAAAAATTCAAATCGTTCTAAAAAAATTATTTTTCGTTGCAGGGGTCAATTTGAATCATTTTTGGTGATTAGGCATATCCCCAAAATCCTACTCAGTTTGGAGAAAAAAATTCGAGTAGGTGCCTAAATTTTTCAGCAAAAGAAAAATTTCAAATCGTTTAAAAAAAATTATTTTTAGCTTCGAGGGTCAATTTGAACCATTTTTGGTGAATAGACATACCCCCGAAATCCTACTGAGTTTCGAGAAAAAAATTTCTCAAGAAAACACAATGTCTGACCATACATTGATTCATTCCCCTGAGTTTTCACTTCTATGCCTAAAACGTCATAACTCCTGAACGATTTAGAGGATTTTAACGTTTCAAAATAATGGATAAACAATCATCGTAGTTCTAGTATTAATTATTAATTCAAATCACCTGTAAAATTTAGCATTAGAACTACAGTACTCGAATTTATTTCCACTGCATTTTAGATTTTAATTTTTTTCATCACGAATAAGTCCATCGTCGTTGTTTTAGTGTCAATCTTACTCTAGATATTGTTAATTAGAACTAAAGACGTTAAAATTTTAGTTAGAACGATAGAGATTGTACATAACTTCCGGATGTCGTCGTCAACTTGTTTCCCTGAACTCGAAAGGGGTGAATTAAGTTTCTAACGGTGAAATTAAGAGCGGAACGGGTCGCATAATTAGTCGCATTTCGACTGACGCGGGGAGGGGGAGGGGGTGGGCGAACGTGAGTCAGATCGAACGTACGTGACGTGGCTATCGGCAAAGCAATAATGTATAAAGTTTACGATCCACGGGCACGTCGCTCAAAAGGGGGGATGGGGGCTGGCGGCGCGGAGGCCCCGGCAAATGTATAAATGTCACGTTATACATAACACGCACGTAGAATAGTCGTATATACATATATAAATATAAACGCGTATACATACAGCGCGTTAATTTCGCGTCGAAAATCTCGGGGGCGAACGGCCGAGAAATAAAATGTTTTATCGCGCGAGAACGGCGAAGAACGATCTGAAAACGAGAGAGAAAAACGAGGGACTTGTCGATCGATTTGACGTTCGAGGCTTTCGGTGAACTTTGTACCGGATGTTAATATTATTTCCCCCTCACGAAGCACGGAAGTTTTCGTTAACGTTCGTCGTTACTTTTTTAGAGGAAGAATTCTCGACGCACAAAAACTCTTAGCGCCGTACTCTGTCGAGTACGTTATCGTTCAATTTTCCCCGCGAAACGAACACCAAACGCACACACACCCGATCGTTCGTCGGTCCTAGATGAGATTTCTTCGAGTCGGTTTGCCAATCACGCACGCTTGGACACTTCCATGCTTCGCGACGAAACAATAACCACGAGCGCAAGAGCGACAGAGAGCGAGATGAGAACGAATCTGGGGAATAAGTTGTTTCTTCCAATATGTTGCCGTGGGTCTGTGTACGGCTGTCTGATTCTACTTGGATAGTTCAGAGAAGTTGACGTGGGTGAACGCGACGTATCCTCGAGAGGAGAAACTAATTCGAAGACACGGTGGTTCCAATTGAACATATCAAGGCCTCTTTAGAAGCGGTCAGCCAACAAGCGGTTTTACTGATTTCACGGTAGTTTCGGTTTTTGAACGCTTTTTTTGAACGTGGGGGCACAGAAAACACGCGAGAACGATCCGTTCGCGGCCCTGGTCGCCATAGTTCTAGGGGCATTTCGCCACGAGTCCTCTCCTAGGGACAAAATTCATCGAGGAAATTCCCTAGACGTGGCAACAATGTATACACCGATGTATCGACGTGGAAAGGCCCGCGAACGAATCGCGACCCGCGAGGCGGAAACGCCGCCATTGTGGCGGGGGTCAGAAATCGATTTTCGACCTCGTATTCGATTCCCTGGCTAGTAAGTAAGCTCACTGAAGCGTTACTGTCTTACCGACGGCCGTGAAACGCACCGATGGTAAATATACCCTGCTTTTGGTGACTAGTTTCGCGGATAACTACCTCATTCCTAGCGTCGTATACCGACGAGACTGTTATCGATCGTTAAGAACGTTTCTTACCGTCCACCGATCATTTTACGGATAGTTTGAACCTTACGTCGTTTCGGTAAACAGTCAGAAAGATTCTGATTTTCACAGTTTCCTACTTTACCGGTTGTTCCTTTGAAAATTCCTCCCTTATCGACGGCGATTGTCGGTACGTCAGCGCTCTGCGCGTCCCACCCGACGGACGGTAACTTCTCTGGGGGTTTTATGGCGTCGGTAAATCAGAACGATGGCTCAACCTCTCCGACTACACGCTAAACACTTACTAAAACGCGTGCGATTATACATATATACTAGTGCGTGTATACATATACATAATATACATATACATATATATTTTATTACTTGAAACGCACTCTGACCCCGGCCACGCGTGTAATATAAAGCTGTAAGACTACATAAATGTAAACTTAAGTAGCACAATGTTCAAGATGCTTGATCCTTGCTGAAGTTTGCTCCCGCGCGTCTCGTAAGCAGCGCATGATGCTTTTTAACGGTCCGTTCCGCTCGGTGGGTAAAACAGTGGAGCGATTTACCGACGGATGGTAATTGGTTCGCGTTTAATGTTTCACGAGGCACGCTTACGAGGCCTTTGGGAGGTCACTTTGGAAGACGCAAAAGTGGGACGTCGCTTTCAGTAGATATTCTCTTTCGGTTAGCGGAACGGCGGGGATAACGCAACCGCGGGTAACCAAATGTATTTCGCGCGATGAACGTAGCGTAGCCACGTCGCCCGGAAACCCCTGTGCAACTTCCGCTTTCTGCTTCGATCCGACCAAACGGTGGTAATTAATAGTCGAACAACCCTTGTCGCGATCGATATCTCGGATCGAACGGAGAAAAACGCGAGTAGTTTGCCCCGGTTTCTTTTCATTTAATCCCTCAATCCCCCCTTCGAACGAACATCAAATGTGGAAGAGTTCAGAGAATACCAATCGTTCTCTGTTCCCTTGGGGGAGGTAGGGCGGGAGGCGGGGGTGGGGGGATGTTCTCGAGGGAGAGACGTGCAGGAGATATTGCGTGATCATCAAAAGAGATTTGTAACTGGTTCGTCGAGAGCTTTTGTTTAGAGATGGATACGCGAGTTGCGTGTCTCTCCACCCGGGGAACACCCTCTGTGCTCCACCCTCCGTCGCGGTACCGATGTGACGTTGACTGTATATACCTATACATACGTATACATATGCATATACATACGTAAATATAAATATACATAATATACATATGCATATACACGAGAGGGTACGCGTACCTAAATCACCTAGTTAATCGAAACGAGACCCTCGAGCACACCCGTCGTCGTCGGGAGTTTCGCGAGCCGCCGGTGACGCGCTCGACGATGATCGCTCGCTCGAATGCTCGGCGAGCGTTCGCGACGAACAACGACGAGAGTGGAAACGCGGTGCATAAAATAAATGTTCGCGGGGGGTGGTGCGTAAGTCGCGCGAATGAACGAGTAATTGTTATAAAAAAAAATGAAGAAAAAAAAAACTTATTATACGGGGGCGGCTAATGAATTGTCGAGGCGTTGGTAAATAAATACGATCGGGGCCCTATAGGGCCCCTGGAAATTATAAAAAACCACTCCCTCGGTGTTTCTGTTCTTTGACCACCCTTTCGAAACCATCCCTTAAAAATTTTTTTATAATTC